CCCAATACTTACCTGGTACATACAGGATACTTACCTAATACTTACCTGGTATGTACAGCATGCATACCCAATACTTACCTGGTACATACAGGATACTTACCTAATACTTACCTGGTACGTACAGCATGCATACCCAATACTTACCTGGTACATACAGGATACTTACCTAATACTTACCTGGTACGTACAGCATGCATACCCAATACTTACCTGGTACATACAGGATGCATACCCAATACTTACCTGTTACATACAGGATACATACCTAATACTTACCTGGTACATACAGGATACATACCCAATACTTACCTGGTACATACAGGATACTTACCTAATACTAACCTGGTACGTACAGGATACTTACCTAATACTTACCTGGTACATACAGGATACTTACCTAATACTTACCTGGTACATACAGGATACTTACATAATACTCACTGTACCTGGTACATACAGGATGCAAACCCAATACTTACCTGGTACATACAGGATACATACCTAATACTTACCTGGTACATACAGGATACATACCTAATACTTACCTGGTACATACAGGATACATACCCAATACTTACCTGGTACATACAGGATACATACCTAATCCTTACCTGGTACATACAGGATACATACCTAATACTTACCTGGTACATACAGGATACATACCTAATACTTAACCTGGTACATACAATATAACAACCTATTACCTACCTGGTACACACTAGGTATATATCTTGTACAAATCAAACCTTTAAAATGTTTTTTATGTTTATTATCATAGTTTTTACTTTAATGTCTTTAAGGCCAAGGATGAGAAGGACAGAACCAAACAGAACCTAAAGGGCGGGAAGGTTCAGAAGAAACGGAAACCTCAGGACTCATCAGGTAAAGTAAAAAATACACACATGAGATGATCAGTGTAAACAAAAATTACAGTTTTGTCATTTCTTATCATAGTTTAAAACTCTGGCATAGAAGGCGGAGGGTGATGGGCATTCCTTTCTTCTAGTTTTCAACATGTAGTTAAATTAATTAATTTTATTTCATTGAATAATTTTATTTTATGACAAGTTCAGGTGAAAACACAGCCCACAGCTGAGTTCTGCTGTAAACTCACAGATTTTCACAGATAAGGACCATAAACACACCCTGAAGGAAACGAACGGTGGCAGAAAGAGACGACAACCTTCACCTCCAGGGTGTGTTTCTAACTGTGACACTGAACTCAACAAACATTTCTTTTTATTTTCATTTAAAAACAAGAAGAAGTCAAATGTAACCCTGCTCCAGATAATGAAAGTTAATGTCCCAAAAATATTGGTAATAAAATCTGAACATTTCTAAACCAGGTTTTTACAGTTGAAACAATGACTCGTCTCTTTTTCTTTGTGACGGTGACTTTTGTGATGTCGTGTCGTTGTTCTCATTATTGAACGATAAACTTGAGAACATTGTTTAAGTTCTACTGAGTTTTACTTGAGAAATTACCAGATATTTGGTTCTTTAGTTCTGATTTGTGCAAAACTTCGAAACAAAGCTTGATCTATCCCTGAAAGAGCATTAAACTAATTCATTGGTATTCTGTCCACTATTGCTCCATCATTTCATTGAATCTGGATTAATATAATTAAACACAGACATGTCTTCTCTGCAGATTCACCCTCTCTGAATGAGTCCGCTCTGCAGAAACATGTGGAAAAGCTCAACAGGGAAAACTTGGAGCATTCCCACGTGAACGAAGAGGCCGAGGTCCGGAGCGCAGAAGATGCAGGAAGTAAAGGAAGCAGGCAGGAGCCGGAAGAACTGATCCTGGATGGGTCAGACACAAGACAAGAGGACAGGAGGAAGGACACTGAGGACGGTAAGTATGGCACGGTATGAGGGCAAAATTAAGACTACTGCACAACCAGCGGTTGCTACATCCTTGTAGCAGGAGGCTATCTCTATTCCTAATCCAGCTATTGWTCTGATTAATGATAGGCCAGCACCGCTAACTGAGAGGCCGGTATTGGCAAATGAGAAGGAGAATATTGATTTGTGTTAGCATTGGAGAGGGATAGCAACCAGCATTCTTAGGTTGCTCACGTACTTCATTAGACACAAACCTTTTTGAATGCCAGCTTATCCATGCTTGTTGCTAGCCTCTCCAATGCTAATGCCAGCTTATCCATGCTAGCCACTAGTTTCTCTGATGCAAACGCCTGCTTATCCATGCTAGTTGCTAGCCTCTTAAATGCTAATGCCAGCTTATCCATGCTAGTTGCTAGCTTTTCTGATGCTAATGCCAGCTTATCCATGCTAGTTGCTAGCCTCTTAAATGCTAATTCCAGCTTATCCATGCTAGTTGCTAGCATCTCCAATGGTAATGACAGCCTATGCATGCTAGCCACTAGCTTCTTTGACGCAAATGCCAGCTTATCCATGAAAGTCACTAGCCTCTTGAATGCTAATGCTAGCTTATCCATACTAGCTGCTCCAATGCAAAGCCAACCTATCCATGCTAGTCGCTAGCCTCTCCAATACTAATGCCAGCTTATCCATGTTAGTTGCTAGCCTCTTAAATGCTAACACCAGCTTATCTATGCTAGTTTCTAGCCTCTCCAATGCTAATGCTAGCTTATCCATGCTAGCTGCTAGCTTCACCAATGCAAAGCCAACCTATCCATGCTAGTCGCTAGCCTCTCTGATAGCTTATCCATGCTAGTCGCTAGCCTCTCTGATAGCTTATCCATGCTAGTCGCTAGCCTCTCTGATAGCTTATCCATGCTAGTCGCTAGCC